TATAACTAATAACAACAAAATATTGGAATTGCCTTTAAGTTGATTGTATGTTACATTCACACACAAAAAACCTTTCTCTGAAAATTTGAGGTTCCTTACACGTTAATTTCTCCTAATGTTATCAACTGTGAGAGTTTACCTGAGACAGAGTGAGTGGCTCAAAGCCACCACTTAACAAGACCAATCACCATAGAGTTTGGTGTTGCTTTCATTCAGGAGCTCAAAAAAAAAATGTGCATATAGCAGTGCTTCCTCCACCTGTTTCACAGAATAGCAGCCTGTTGAAGTAAGCTGATCTGAGGGAAATCCCCAACGTTTGATTTTATCCTGCCTTTATTCGTGTATAAGTAATTGAAGCTGGCAAACATACACAATTTTTCTTCAGTTTTTCCAGCAACTGTTTGAGGTGGTTTGGGCTGAAAGAGAGTGACAGGCCCAAGATCACCCAGCTGCTTCCCTGCCTAAGGGGGGACTGGAACTCCTGGTTTCTGGACCTGCACCTTAATCCCTGCTGAATTTGCACTAAAACCTGCCTTTTCCTTTTCTACACTACACTACACTGCATTAGACTAATGTGAGACAATGGCTGAGAACCCTTTCAATTGTATTTTATATCTTTCTCCTTTCTGGCTAGTGAAGTACTGTATCTGCTGAGTACTTAAAATAATACAGTATCTGCTTCTCTGCAGATGACATAGGATTCTTGGTATCGTCAGAAAGTATTTGATCTGTAATCAAATACTCATTGTAATCAAATAATCATTGTAAACAAATGATTGTTTTTCATGTGACACATTATTCTTGAGCCAGATAATGGAAAGGAGGGAATAAAGTTTCAGTTGCAGGCAACCTTGGATTATTTTGATTAATTAAATCAATGTCAATCTGATTTCCAGTCTGGTTTAGAAATGAAAAATAGCTGACTTATATCAGGAAATAAATGGTTGGAGTGGAGAGCTATAATTTTGTATCGAAAAGTATCACCTCTTAGTAGCTTCGAGCACTATCAACCATGGCACCCATTTTGTTGAACAGGCTTTAAAGTGTAATGTTATGATAGCTCCAATAATTTCTGAAAACAAAGCAAGAAAATAGCACAGTGGGTGGATTTATATTCCACTTGTAGCTTTTGAAGTGTCTTGGGGTTTTATTTTGTCCACTGTTTTTATTTATATAAAATTTGTTTAGAAAATTTATATGGTGATCCAACTCACTCTCAGTACTTGTTCATTTTAACCATGGAATCAGTGTGCAGTTCAAATTATTACTGTGTGCTCTTATTTCCCACACTGCCATGGATCATCCCTAGACAAAGGCATGTTTTGGACTAAAGAACTATTGTTACTTCCCAGCAAGTGGATAGAGTGGACTGAACTGTGAAATGTGCTGGTGCAAATAAGAGGTAAGTTTATTCCTAATTTATCAGTAAAATTCCCCCTTTGCAACTTTAACTAGAAAATAATTCAAAACTTTCTTCTGATTGTTTTCTAGCTTGTTTTCCTGGAGTAATGAAGTGGGGGAAGAATATTCCACTCAACCTGTTTTAATACTTTTAAGATGGTGTTCTTAATATTGTCTTGCTTCTGAGTAGGCTTTTACAAGATTCCACTGGGACAATGAAGGTTTGTTGGTATTGGCTTGTGTACTGCTCATATAATGACTAGCATTCATAAAGACTTGGAGGGAGCAGTATCACTTTACTCAAAAATTTGCTTTTGTTATGTTGTCATTTCTATCACCCCTATCTATTTTTTACCATTTTTATTCAAATACTTCCAAGTTTCAAAAATGACCAGTCTATAATTTAGTCCCCACTTCAAAATGTTGATGTGACATGTAATATAAATCATTAAATACAATTATATTTCAATACAGTCACTCCAATAAAAAGGGAAAATAGAATGGAATTGTGGTTGCTGTAATTACACAATTTAAATACTAGCAGACAAAAGCCCCTCAAGTTGAGGAACATGCTAAATTTCTGCATGTTGCTTAACTTTAAAATGAAGAGTAATCATGTTTTAATGGATTAACAACTAAAGGAAAACAATGCTTCAAATATATGCACAGACTTTTCAAGTCATAGTTATTGCAAAAAATGTGGCTATTATTTCATCAAAATGAAGAGAAGGTTTCAATAGTGTAGGTTTCACTGGTTGATTTGTGCCAGACTTCAGGCTTTAGAGCTGGGGTTGAAGAAATCATTTAGAAAGTGAAGGCAGGTAACACACCAGCTGTTGCCATTGGCCTGCATTATTTTCTTTTGAAAAAGCATTTGATTAGCAAGTTATGGCTCGAGAGCTTTAATATGGTTATGGATTTTTTAAAATTGTCCTTATGTAGATTTATTCCCCTTTTAGAATGAATTGAGATTTATTATCAATTGCTTTTGGAATGTTAGTGAAATGATATAAGCTTTCAAGGTTGGATAGTGTTGGTCTTTGAGCTTCAGTAACCATGGTCTAACCAACAGATTTCTTGAAATTCTATGTCCAGTCCACCAAGATGGGACTCTGCTATTGGCACTGACAGAAAATGATTTGACACTGAGGCAATTCCCAAGCCCAGAAATTCTACTTTATATAGAAACTCCTCAGAGATGCTGTAGAATTTATTTTAAAAAAATCTACCCTCCCTGATAATGAAATGTCCAGGAAGATTCTTGTTTGAAACTGAAAACAAATTCAGAACCGAAAATAAAATCACTTTCTCCATTTTCACATGCATGATCCTGATTTTGGCAAGTTACAGTTCAGCTTGATGCTTGGAGAATAGCTATTGAGGCCCAAAGAACAGAAAAGTGATTAATTATAGTTGAATTGAATTGAATTTATTATATTTCTATGCCGCCCTTTTCCCCAAGGGGACTCAGGGCGGCTCACAAGCCAAGTCGGGGAGGGGGGGTAGAGGATACAAATAGGGAAAAAAAGACATGGACAGACAATACCACAATTTAAAAGCAACTCAACAGACACACCATTCGAGCGGGGACAGGAACTCATCAGCCCCAGGCCTGTCGGAACAGCCAGGTTTTGAGGGCTTTGCGGAAAGCCTGGAGGGTGGTGAGGGTCCGAATCTCCACGGGGAGCTCGTTCCAGAGGGCCGGAGCAGCCACAGAGAAGGCCCTCCTCCGGGTGGTCGCCAGTCGGTATTGGCCAGTGGTTGGAATTCGGAGGAGACCTAATCTGTGGGATCTAATCGGTCTATTGGAGGCAGCAGACGGTCTCTCAAGTTGAAGTCCTAGACAAAACAGTTATCAGCTGCATGCCAGGAAAAAACTGCCCAAAGTCCAGGATACAGAATAATTGAAATCAAATTTTAGATTAATATTAGGTTGCCTCCTGAAGTGGCACCTTTCCTTTCACTGGCAATCTTCATGGAGAGGTTGGACAGTTGCCAGCTCAGAATACTTTAGAACTCACACTGAGCAAAGGATTGATAATCTGTGCTGCTAGTGCCAATAAAAACAATAGTTTGACAGTGGAAATGGACACCTTCCTTCCATGTATATGTGATGAGCATCATGTATTAGGGGTGCTTTAACTTAAGACTCCAGAACTGAATAGTGTGTCAGATTCAGTGGCTCCTTTGGCTCCTTCCAAGTCAGTAAAATGTGTACAATAAATCAAGGTCAAGAACAGAACCCATTAGTTAGGTTTCATGTTTTTTACTATACACTGTAGCATAAATCCCTTACAATATATAAATTGAAAAACTAGTGATAAAAGAGCAAAATGCTTCATATTAACAAAACATTTTGTGAGCTATTCCTGTAAGAAACTTCCAACAATTAAAAGCAACACTTAAGAATTCAAAAACTGTATTCCCCCCTCCCCCGTTTCTTCCCCCTATTTGGAAAGCGATTATATTTGTACAACCGTTTATTCTGAAAAGCTGCCAGCAATAGATTTCTCTTCTAACTTCCAGGCTTCTTGGTTGTTGATAACTTATGGAACTGAAAAATTATTAAGTAGAACTAATCAGAAATAAAAACCAGAGCACCAAAGTTTCATAGAAAGAAATACACTTCTGCCAACTACAACAAATGGTCTTTCCATATGAATCACTCATACAAATATATTTTTGCACAGCAAAAAGAACTGGAATATAGAAATTTCTCTCAATTGGCTAGCAATAATATCTACTTCATTCTAATGACAACAATGCCAGATTCTTGATAATTCTGTAAGCAACTAATACTTGTTTAAAGGAGAAACAAACAAAAACCTCTGCTCTTGGTCTGATGAGGTACAAAGGAGAAGGCAGAGATTATTAACAGGTAAATGGGAAATAACTCACAGTTCAAGTTCAGCCAGAATGACTTTTATCTTTAAGGTGAATGGCTATCTAGGCAAGGTAGCAAGTGGAAAGGAAAACCTACCGAAAGGCATTTTTCTCCCTTTTTAAAAATTGCTACACTGGCTTTTCTGACAATAAACATTAAATCATAATTATCTCTTCAATCTGTGAATTTTGCACATAAAAGAAAATTCACTACCATATCGATTCCTGGATTTTAATTGTTAATGCTATTAAAAATCTCAAATTGTCCAGATGCAAAATGATCTTGATTTGTTGAAAAATTCAATGAATCTGCATAAGGATATCAGAGAAAGGAACATGTTCACATCAGAGCCTCTTCCCAACTGTACTTGTATCTCAACTCCAACTAAACTATTTATAAAATGGCATTAAGGGATTGGGGGCGGGGAAGAGAACTAAAGGCAAGTCACGCACAGAGTTAATAATTCTGATGTTCCCTGAATTCTCATTTCCTGAATGAGAACTGCCTTCCATATTCAATCTCTTCCTAGAGGCCAGCCAGGAGAGACGTAATGAAAGTCAAGTTCAGAATCACTCACACACATACACACAAATACAATCTGTTGTCTATGCAAAAGCCTAGCTTTTGAAAAGTGCCATGGTCCCTGGAGGAGTGGAGGGAGTGGGAAGAGGTAGGAGACTTTGGCAAAATAAAGAAGACTACAAAAGTAAGAAGCTTAGGAGTTACAGTTGCTCCGTGATCCTTGAGTTTGTAGAGGAGTTTGATAGTGCTGGAGGACAGGGGGCCCTGGTACTGCAGCAGAAGATGCATTTTGGAAGGTATACCCATCTTCCATCTTCATGGTGGTATACTCCATGCTTGTAGAGAAGCCAGGATAAAAATTCATCTTTTGGTGGTTGATATAGTTGATAGTTTGTGGGCTATAACATGCCCCACCAGCTTTTCCAAAGAAGCTCCCATCCTCACCAACTGGATAAAAATTTTGAGGATTACAGTAGACCTGGTGGTGGTCACTATTATAACTTTGGTTACTGCTATAGTTTTGATTGCTGGTGTAGTTCTCATGCACAGCAGCCAATGAATGAAAGTTCCTAGCCTCACCAATACTGTAACCTTCATGATAACTTGGGTTTATGTCCAAATAACTATTCTGTGAGAAACAAGCAAAACAAGAGTTGCATTAATGGCAAATTTTTTGTTCAAAAAGCCCCCAATCCTTAAACAATATTAGCCCCCAATTCTTAAACAATAGGGATTAAAAACAGAAGAAGGTGCTTTATAATCAATAATCCCTCTAGGTCAAAAGCATTCCCTCTATCCATTCATATTCTAAGTTTTATGGCAGAGGCATTTTTCCAGTTCCAGTTGAAAATGCAAGGCTTTGAGCACAGGATCTTTCTCATGCAAAACATGTGCTTCACCTGTCAGCTATGATTCCATGTACCATCATGCTACAATACCTACAATAAAGAATGAGGATCTTTTTAATGGGTGTTAAGAGTGAGTTGCCCAATTACCTGAGTTTGGCACATTCCTTTTCTCATCCACAGAGTTTCTTTCTGAGTTCGCTTAAACTTCATCCGTTGATTCTGAAACCATGTTTTTACCTGGAATGTGGTGAAAAGACAGGATACCATTTGCTGTTGTCCTTTTCTGGATACAAAGGCTCTAGCAAATTTGGCTCTTGGAATACAGTGTACATTTTTGGTTACTACAGAAGTATTTAAAACATGCAGTGCAGGAAAGACATAAGTCAATAATTTGCCTCCACTTCTTATAATGTTAGCACTTATTTGAGAATAGCAAAGGAAAATGCTTCTTTTTACAAGACAAAATTAAATTGTAGAATTTACCACAATTTAATGCAGTAATAGATCTCTGGTTTAGGTGTTTTAAAAAGAGACTGGATAAAATTCATAGCTAGAGTCTTGATGGCTCTTAATTATTTTAGGAACCCTTATACTTAGGAATTGCAGGCAGTCTTAAGCACTAGATTCTAAGAAACAACATGGAAAAGAATTACTACTCTCCTATCAGAACATGTGATCTTCCCCCTAAGGCAGTGGCCCCCAACCTTTTGGGCCCAATAGGACTCAAAACTGTTTGAGACTCTGTTAATCTCACTTTAAACATTCGCATGGATGGAAAAATGCAGTTTAGATGTAGCTAGAGAAAGAATAAGCAAGCAATTATTCTTAAAAAATTATGGGATAGCAAGAGAACGTTAAAGACTGATCCTAAAAGCCTCTAGTCAAAATCTAATTCTGGAGATTTATGTTTAGGATTCAGACTTGTCTAAATTAGATGTCCCCCAGACCAGTTAAAACTCCCCCACATCAACCTTGTTATTATATACACAAATAATATATAATTCTATATACTAATTCTATACATTATATAGTTATAATTATATAATTATTTTTGTGCCTTTGATTCTTGGTGACTGCCTGGACTGCCATGCAATTTTTGTGGCTCGATTTTGGAAGTAGTTTGCCATTGCCTCTTTTCTAGGTCAAAGAGAGTGCCTGACCTAGATCACCTGGTTGGCTTTTTGCCTTAGGCAAGACTAAAATTCATGTTCTCTGGGTATCTAGCCTGGTGACTTAACCACTACACCAAACTAAATCTCTATCATTGGGCTGAATTCAGGCTGTGCCAGAAGTCCTTACCTGTTTGTAAGTGAGTTTCAAGGCTGCAGCCAGTTCTTGAATCTGTTGTGGACTGAGATACTTTTGGCTCTGAAATCGGCGGTGCAGTATCTCCAATTGCTCTTGAGAGAAAGCTGTACGTGTTTTGGCTTTCTTGCTTCCTGGATTTTCCTCCTTGCATCTCTGGGGTGTAGAAGTCAGCTGTGGAGAAGAGGACTGTCTGTTGGGACTGGTGGCAGAGTCGGGAGTGTAAAGAATTAATATTCCAGAACTTGGAGAAAGATCTAGAAATCAAGCATAAAACAGCATTTAAGGGCAAAAGAAGATGACTTTTAAATAAATTAGATCAACAGAATATTTTATAGCTCAGGGTGGTTGAAACTGTCAAGTCCTTGATGCTCTCCGAGGGTGATAGTTTTCTTGCAGAGGTTTCATTACTAAACTATGAACACAGGCAGGGCAAACCACTAGTGTATATAAATAAAAAACAAACCCTACTCCCTTCTAATACAGATGAAGTTACCTAGTTTGGCAATGAAACCTCTGCAAGAAAACCACCAAGCTCAGAGAGGTCCCACCATGGTCCCCAAATAAAGTTAGATTATAGATATAAAAGGAAGTAAATAAACAACTATTTTCTCACTATGCATAAAGGATGAAATGATGTACAGACTTTCAAACTAAATCTAAATTTTTAGATTTTTGAGACTCAAAAAATTGTGCATCCAGAATGAAAGGAATTAATTCAGTATGATACATTTTAAATAGATTTTAGGGTTAACATCAATTAATAAAATATATAATTATATCAAACTCTTAATTATATATTGGCCATAGTTAATAACAAATTGTTTCACCAAAACCTCCAAATTTTTAATTTATCTTTGCCTAGTGAAATGAAAAAAACCTTTTCATTTATTTTGCAGGAAAAATGCTCAAACTATTTCTGAGTGAACAGCACACACTGCATTCAACTAAAGAAACTAAATTCTGACTGGTGCCTTTATCGTTTTATATTGTAACACTGTATTTCATAGTATTTCATAACAGCAATACATTGTTTTAAAATAAACACACAAAAGTGCACTTTCAAGCATCAAAATGCCTAGTTTTTAAACATATAACTGGTTTTGCAAAGCACATGACTAAACATTAATAATTGCAGTTTATGAGACTAGGAAACAAGCCAGGATACTCTCTCAAGTTTGGAAAAGAAATTTGCGGGCCCAACTTAAGGGGACAGGTACTACACACCCAAGACAGAACAGCCGCGCTTCCCAGAACCAGTCTCCTTTTCTTTGGGTTTACCTCGCTCGTGGGAAATCTCGAACAATCGCCTTACTTGAGAGGCGGCTTTTTTCCTCTCGAGCGCCGATTAAGCAAGGTAGGCTGGAAATCAGGGCCGGCTCTGTGCAAGAGCCGAGTCTTCCTGGTCTCCATCCCATTAAGAACTCTTAGCTGCGAAGGACCCCGCTTCAGTCCCATCCCCTTCATTCCCCATCTGCGAACTACTTCAGAGTAAATATGGAGCCACTGGGGGATTTTATTTTCAAGGTGCGAACTCCAAAGGGGATTTTAGTTGCTTAAGTTGCTCCTTAAAAGCTCCACACATATTCATTCAAAGTTCTGGCAAAGAATTCAGGAAGAGTTGGGCACACACATTATTTTGTTCGTTTCTAGTCTTCTATGAATCAGCCATAGTAGTTTGTCAGCATCGGGTTATATGGAATTAGTACGATGGCAATTCAGTCTCTATCGGCTTAAAACGTGGGTTACGTTTTGCAACACTGCACCCGGTGCCTTTTACTCTGGGGCTGCGATCCCACGTGGCTGAACTATCGGAAGACTTCCCCAAATCAAGTGGAGGCTCTGACCCTTCGAGAAACGGAACGGCTCCATCTAGGACTTGGTGCAATTACACACCGTGGAGCGGAGTCAGGTAAAACTGTGAAGTACACAAACCAGAACAGTTAGATTTACACACGTGTACTGAGAGAAGAGTCGCACCGATGTGCAAACACTGGCTCCCATTCCCAGGCAAGGGAACCGCCAAATTATTAGAAGTGGAGCCCTTCCCCTTGGAGACTTACTTGGGTTTTTGTGGGGCGCCTTTTCCTCCACGTCACTTAAAGCTTCTGGGAGAGGGGGCTCTTCTGAACTGTGCACTGGCTCCTGCGCTTTCTCCCCTGGGGAATGCCAGTAATACTGCTCATAACCCATTCCGGGGACCGCCACTCCGGAGGTGTAGGCTCGATAAGCAGTATTTATGGCCAGTGGGGCGTTCATGGGTGGAACGCGGAAGCCTACGGGAAGAGTTATAGAAGCCCCGCAGCCTTCTTGGGGTACCTTTTATGGCCCGCCTTACGATAGACAGACCTTCCCGAATCATTGTCATGTTAAAGGTTGCCTAATTGACTGGGAGTGGCCTGGGTAGGACCTGAGTGGTGGGGAGGGAGGACGGGATGGAGAGGGAATCGTGGCCTACTATTCAAGGTAGGTTAGCTGTTAAACGTCAAACAAGCCACTTTATGAACGTGTGAACCTGGCTAGAATGGAATTAGGGTTCAAGTAGCGTTTTTTGCTTCTTGGAGGGGAAAAAACCTGGTTGAAAATATTTCTGCAGGATTTAAAAGAGAAAGGCTCCTTTAAATTCACTGGAAATGCTGATAACTTCATGGACAAGTCTAGGTGATTTTATTGGTAAGAGAATGAAAGAAGTTTGCTTTCTTCTGTGATGCTTCCAAACTCCCCAGTCTTAGCCTGCAGACCTCCCCAAGTGTTAACCATGTGATAAATCATGCTTGGATTTCTAATTCAAGAGCAGCCAATGGCTGTTGCCTTCTGAGGTTCAACTAGACTATGATTGCTTGAACTACAGTGACTATTTGTGCAACATATGAAGCAAAAAATGAACAACCTATATGCAGTTGTTGGCTTAATGTGATTGGCCTTTTAGGATCGTTGGCCTGCCACACTTTCTATGATTTCATTGTGCTGTTTCATTAGTGTAATAGTTGGGAATGGGGAATAGAAAGGAGTAGAATTGTGGAATGTGTTGTTGTCATTTCTTTCTAGAAGCCCAAGGTCATCTTTTGACCAGAACCAGCTGGGTGGAGATGCCAGCGTGGCTGAAGAAGATTGGACCATGTGATGGATTTATGGGTGTGGAGATAAAATGATAAACTTTCAACTGGGTGGAATCCCAGGAAGTTCTCAGATTTCGGATTCCACAGTTCGCAGCCAGCAAGAGCCGGGACTGAAAAAAAAAACATTCCTT